CTTCGCGCGCGAGGCTGACGAACGAGCCCGCTTCCCGGAACCGCCCGCCGGGCCGCCGCGCCCCCGCCTCCCCGACGTCGCGAGCCGGGAGACTAGGCCCGCCTGCCCGCCGCAGCCCCCGCGCCGCCGCCCGGGTCCTCTCCGCTCCGAGCGCGAGAGCCAGAGCTCGCGCCGGCTTCCCGCAGGGCCCGCCCCACCGCGCGCTCTCCGGGCCCAACCTCCCCAATTCAACGCAAGGAAATCGAACCGTGCGAAATGCGAAATTCGTGTCCCTGGCAGTCTCCCCCGCCTTCCCCTCGGCTGTGTGTCAAAGCTGAAAGGGATGTTAGTGATCATCTGACTCAGAGCTGTATAAGTATTTAGTTTTTCTCATAGTCACATCAAAAGGGCAAAAAGAACCAGGTGACATTAATGTTAATGACTAATTTTACCCAATATATGCAAAATATTTCAAAATAAACTCCATATTATTCGTAAAATGTTTTGCATCGTTTTTAACCTTTGAAATCTGCTGTGTGTTTTATACGTACTGGCCACAGTCCATAGTCAAATGGGACAGCGAGGTGGAGACTCCGCTCTCTATGAGGGGAAACAGGCCAGCGAGGTGAGGGATGTGAGCCAGGACTGAGCTGGTCCTCGGATTCCCAGCTATGGGGACTAGTCTATTAGCTTTTTGACGTTTTTAAGATGAAACTGGAAAGTTTCCCAATATCTTACACATTAAAAGTTATATAAAATTATCTTTTTTTGGCTTTTTTTTAAAGCCATCATTTAATGAAGTAGCTTAGGATATGATAGGCCCCAAATAGGTATTCTTCTATTTTCTAGCTGAGAAAAATCGGCATAGAATGTTTGTGTACATTATTCAAAATCACATGCTCTGTCCATCACTGTCAAGCAGACTGGCATGTAATTCAATAAATTAACTCTATGCCAGGCTGAGCTTGACATTAGACATAGCGATGTGCAAGGCCCAGTTCTTCATATGGGAGAACACCCCGTGGACCTGAGTATGTAATCGTCTATGAAATTTTCGACCCCTGAATGTAATTTCTTTAAATGCCTAAACAGGGATTATGATTCCAACATGCCTGGTGACACCCAGAGATCTTAACAAGGAGTTCCCCTGCACATGTTTGTAAAATGAATGAATATTTTTCATGTGGCCACAGCATCAATATCTGAAGATTAGGCCATCAAAGTGAGAGACACAATATGAAAGAGGAAGCTACATGAATAAAGACTAAAATGCAGAAGGAAGCGATGTGAACATGAATCAGCTCTGGATTTCACCCTGATGCAATCGCCTGTAATTTGGAAGAGTTAAAAGTGTCATTGTTCTCAGGATGGAAACTCTATTCCATAAGACTCAAACTCTTTCCCAGAACAAATTTCCAGCAAACTTACAATCAACATATAAGACAACTTTTTTACTTTATTGTCCTTTTTTTTTTAGCTTCATTGAGATATAATTGACAAATAAAATTGTAAGTTATTTAAATGTACATTGTGGTGATTTAATATACATAGACATTGTGAAAGGATTCCCCCCATAGAGTTAATTAACACAGCCATTATCCCATATCATTAGTGATACTGTAGTATTTGTCTTTCTCTGTCTGGCTTATTTCACTTAGCATGTTGCTCTCAAGTTCTCCCCATTGTTGTAGCAAATGGTTGTAGCAGGATTTCCTTCTTTCTTGTGGCTGAATAATAGTCCATTGTATATGTATGCCACAGCTTCTTTATCCATTTATCCATTGCCAGACTTAGGTTGTTGCCAAACTTTGGCAATTGTGAATAATGTTGCAATGAACATGGGAGTGCAGATATGTCTTCGGGATCATGCTTTCGTTTTCTTTGGATATATACCAGAAGTGGGATGGCTGGATCTTACTTTATTTTCTTGGTAATTATAATTTTTCCTTCCTGATTTATGAAAGATTTGAGAAGGTGTAAAATACAATTTATACACGGTGTATAACTATCACTGACATTTCCTTGAGAATCCGTCAAGTTGAACCTTTGTGTGAGCTTACTTCAACTGTGCCTGCTCTGGCAACCACCTCGTCTTGCCTCTGTTCTGTAGTCCATTAAATAACTGATTAGTCATTCAAAAACTAATTAAGGAGTACCCACAGGGTACATAGTTCAACCTTCTATTTCTCTAAGTCCAGCCTCCCATCTATTATAACTTTGCTAAACATTAAATCTTTCAGAGATGAACAAGGCTACACCTTGTTATTATTCTAATACTCGTCATTACAACAATAACATGACTTAGATTTAATGTACACAGCATTTCTTGATGGAATTATGATTACTGTGCAAATATCAGCTTTTTTTTTTAATGACCAAAGCCGGAAATAGCTTGATATGAGACATGAAGATTTCCATGGGAAGCTTTCCAGTACCTAAATATTTTCTGGCATTGAATAGACTGGACAGAAATAATTTAAGAAAAAATGTTGGTCAAAGAAAAGGAATATTATGACACACAAGGAAGAAAGGCTAAATAGAAATCTGAAAGTTTGGTGCTGATATTTGATTCAAGCTACTTATTTAATAGTTATTCAATACAAATACACTCATGGTACTTTTCTCTCAAGATACTTGAGATCATCTGAGTTGGGGAGATATGACACCTAAACTCTATCTTCACCATCTTTATTTACAGAATGCTCCTGAAAAGGCAAGCTATCTATAGTAACTGACTTCATTTCTTGACTTCCCATTCACACCTTAATCCACTGTGCAATCTGGTTTCCTACTCCGCCCTCCTGCAAATGCTCCTTACCTGACCAAGTCTAATGACCATATGCATGACATCATGAAATTTCTGCTGCACTTCGACAAGCTGATTCCTCCCTCCTTTAGTTAAATTTCCTATGCATTAAATACTCCAGATTCTCCTTGTATTTCTCACTGGTATTATTTCACTCTCTCTTTCACGAGCTTTCCCCAGCCCACCTCTAAGGAGTCTATCCTTTGTTCAGTGTTCTTCTTCATCTATATTCTCCCCTGGAGAAACTTGCCCAACCTCATGATTTTAAATACCTCCTCTATGCTGATGACTCCCAGATCATTTTCCAGTTCAGATAGCTCCCTTGAGCTTCAAAATCCAACTGCCTATTGGGCACACCCGTCTGGTTTTCTCAGAAATGTTTGGTCACACCACCATCCATATCTAGTCACCAAGAAGCGAAAGCCATCTTCAGTTTCTCCCTCTCTTTCACCTCCCATGACCTATTGATAAAGCAAGTTCTGCCAGTTCTGTCTTTTATTTATCCCTTCCTTTCATCTTTATGATCAACCA